CTGTCTCAAAAAAAAAAAAAAAATGTAATTCTGTGACTCATGATAGAAACAAAATTTAAAGAACTACTTCTTTTAATGTTTAGTGTAGTACTATCTCTGTTTGATCACACTTTTTTTTTTGAGACAGAGTCTGACTCTGTCACCCTGCATAGAGTTGCCAGCAACAACCTTAGACTCTTGGGCTTAAGAGATCCTTTTGTCTGGCTCAGTACTGTAGCATAGTGGTTATAGTGCTGGCCACATGCACTAAGGTTTGGCTGGGCCTGCCAAACAACAATGACAACTACATCCAAAAAACAGCTGGGCGTTTTGGGGTGCCTATAGTCCTAGCTACCTGGGAGGCTGAGAAAAGAGAATGGCTTGAGCCCAAGAGTTGAAGTTGCTGTGAGCTGTGACATTATAGCACTCTACAGAGGGCAACATAGTGACACTCCATCTCAAAAAAAAAGAGAGAGCCCTCTTGTCTCAGACTCCCAAGTAGCTGGGATGGTAGGTGCTTGCCACGTCTTTTGAGTAGAGATGGTGTCTCACTCTTGCTCTGGCTGGTCTCAAACTCCTGAGCTCATGTGATCCACCCATCTCAGCCTCTCAAAAAAGTGCTGGGATTATAGGTGTGAGCCACTGCACCCAGCTGATCACACATTTTTTCTTTTTTTTTCTTTCTTTGGCTGATCACTTTTTATAAATAGTGTTTTCTTTTAAATAACTCAAGCTGGTTTTTGTATTTAAGATACCCAACTCTTGAAAATGCCTTTATGTATTAATAATTTCAACCAAAACTTCATTTCTGAGCAAGGTGGAATATCTTATATCCTATAATTGCTCAATAAAGACAAGTTTGAGAACTTTTGACATGTATGTATATGAGTATATTAATAGCTTCCCCTTACTTTCAAGTTATAATTGCATTTCTTGTTTATTACGAATTCTTCCTTTAGCTTTATTAGTGGAGATACAATTCTTAAAAATAGCAAAATTCAAAATCCTCAACTATTTTATCCCTTCTGGTTTTGAGTGTTTGCTGTACGTTTTTTTTCACTTTTTTTTTTATCAGGTTCCTATTAAAGGTTCTTAAAAGATACCAGTTTATCCATCCTCCTACCTGACCCCCCACCAAATCTAATTGTTGGAAAGAGAATCTATACTTTTTCTTTTTTTGAGATAGTCTCACTATGTCACCCTTGGTAGAGAGCCATGGCGTCACAGCTCACAGCAACCTCCAACTCTTGGGCTTAAGCGATTCTGTTGCCTCAGCCTCCCAAGTAGCTGGGACTACAGGAGCCCGCCACAATGCCCAGCTATTTATTTTGTTGCAGTTGTTGTTTTTGTTTAGCAGGCCTGGGTGGGGTTCGAATGCACCAGCCTCAGTGCAGGTGGCCGGCACCCTAACCACTGTGCTATGGGCACTGAGCCAACCTATATGTTTTTTGATGAAGAGAAACTACTTTTTTTCTAAAACAGCAAAAATCAAAGCTTGAAAAATAACATTTCGAACATGCACTATAACTCCAGTCCTATTAAATTACTATTTTTTTTTTGTTGTGCTAGACTTGGTTTGTAAAGGATGCATAATTTTTTTTCTATGTTTAAAGAACAGCCAAACCTTTAACCTCTTAATCTGTTTTTTCCACTAAATGCCTTCATATTGATTTTTTTCAAAATATAATTTGACAATCTCTTGGTCCACTGATACGTGAGATCAGCAGGATAAGCAGTCTTGATTTTCTGATGTTGCTCTTTAGAGATTGGTATGGAATTTTGTGGAGAGAAAATTAAAATGAGTGCCTGAAGTAGAATTCTTTTACCTCTCATTGCTACCTTAACTGATCATGAATTTATTATTCTAATTTTAAATTTTTAAAAAATTTTTTATAGACAAGGTCTTTCTATTGCCTAGGGTAGAGTGGTAGAGTGCAGTGGTATGATCATAGCTACCTGTCACCTTTAATTACTGGGCTCAAGCAGTCCTTCTGCCTCAGCCTCCTGAGAATCTGGCACTACCTACAGGTCTGCAGTTCCATGTCCAGCTAA